ACCACACCCCAGCACGACCAGACCCCCGCACGACCCCACCCCAGCACGACCCCACCCCAGCACGACCATACCCCAGCACGACCACACCCCAGCACGACCCTACCCCAGCACGACCCTACCCCAGCAAGACCACACCCCAGCACGACCACACCCCAGCACGACCTCACCACAGCACGACCACACCCCAGCACGACCACGCCCCAGCACGACCACGCCCCAGCACGACCACGCCCCAGCACGACCACCCCCCAGCACGACCACCCCCCCAGCACGACACCCCCCAGCACGACCACCCCCCAGCACGACCACACCCCAGCACGACCACTCCCCAGCACGACCACACCCCAGCACGACCACACCCCAGCACGACCACACCCAAGCACGACCCGATCGATAGAGCACAGGGTGCGGACGCAGCCCGCCTCCAACCCCCCCAGCACGACCGCACCCCAGCACGACCCCACCCCAGCACGACCACGCCCCAGCATTGACCACACCCCAGCACGACACACCCCCGCACGACCACTCCCCAGCACGACCCCACCCCAGCCCAACGACCCCACCCTAGCACGACCAAACCCCAGCACGACCACACCCAGCACGACCCCCACCCAGCACGATCACACCCCAGCACGACCCCACCCCAGCAGACCACACCCCAGCACGACCGCACCCCCCATCACGACCTTACCACACACGACCACACCCCAGCACGACCTCACCACAGCACGACCACACCCCAGCACGACCACGCCCCAGCACGACCACGCCCCAGCACGACCACGCCCCAGCACGACCACCCCTCAGCACGACCACCCCCCTAGCACGACCACCCCCCAGCACGACCACCCCCCAGCACGACCACACCCCAGCACGACCACTCCCCAGCACGACCACACCGCCTTGGTTGAGTGGTTGCCTGTCGTCGTGGAATGTTTCGTGGGGTGTCTCGTGAATGTTTCGCGGGGTGTCTCGTGAAATGTTTCGTGAGGTGTCTCGTGGAATGTTTCGTGAGGTGTCTCGTGGGCTGTTTCGTGAGGTGTCTCGTGGGATGTTTCGTGAGGTGTTGCCCAGTTGGGTATCATGAAAACGTGTCCATCTCCACATGTCTATATCCCTTTCCGGGTTCGTGGGTCCATCATGTTTCACAAACAGTCACACCGCACACTTTCGTGCTCTTCGACCTCCCAGAACTCCACTCCCGGGCCGCATTCTGAATGCCCGGAGCCAACTGTAGGCCACTTCGTGCTCTTCGACTTCCCAGAACTCCATTCCCGGGCCACATTTTGGATGCCCGGAGCCAACTGTACGCCACTTCGTGCTCTTCGATTTCCCAGAATTCCACTCCCGGGCCACATTTTGGATGCCCGGAGCCAACTGTAGGCCACTTCGTGGTCTTGGAGTTCCCAGAACTCCATTCCCGGGCCACATTTTGGATGCCCGGAGCCAATTGTAGGCCACTTCGTGCTCTTCGACTTCCCAGAACTGCATTCCTGGGCATGATTTTGAATGCCCGGAGCCAACTGTAAGCCACTTCGTGTTCTTCAGGTTCCCAGAATTCCATTCCCGGGCCACATTTTGAATGCTGAGGCAGGCTGAGGCTGAGGCTGAGGCAGGCTGAGGCTGAGGCAGGCTGAGGCTGAGGCCGAGGCTGAAGGCAGACTGAGGCCGAGGCTGAAGCAGGCTGAGGCTGAGGCTGAGGCAGGCTGAGGCTGAGGCTGAGGCAGGCTGATGCTGAGGCAGGCTGAGGCTGAGGCTGAGGCTGATGCAGTCTGAGGCTGAGGCAGGCTGAGGCTGAGGCCGAGGCTGAAGGCAGACTGAGGCTGAGGCTGAAGCAGGCTGAGGCTGAGGCTGAGGCAGGCTGAGGCTGAGGCTGAGGCAGGCTGATGCTGAGGCAGGCTGAGGCTGAGGCTGAGGCTGAGGCAGGCTGAGGCTGAGGCAGGCTGAGGCTGAGGCCGAGGCTGATGCAGGCTGAGGCTGAGGCAGGCTGAGGCTGAGGCCGAGGCTGAAGGCAGACTGAGGCTGAGGCTGAAGCAGGCTGAGGCTGAGGCTGAGGCAGGCTGAGGCTGAGGCTGAGGCAGGCTGATGCTGAGGCAGGCTGAGGCTGAGGCTGAGGCTGATGCAGGCTGTGGCTGAGGCAGGCTGAGGCTGAGGCCGAGGCTGAAGGCAGACTGAGGCTGAGGCTGAAGCAGGCTGAGGCTGAGGCAGGCTGAGGCTGAGGCTGAGGCAGGCTGATGCTGAGGCAGGCTGAGGCTGAGGCTGAGGCTGAGGCTGATGCAGGCTGAGGCTGAGGCAGGCTGAGGCTGAGGCCGAGGCTGAAGGCAGACTGAGGCTGGCTGAAGCAGGCTGAGCTGAGGCGGCTGAGGCTGAGGCTGAGGCCGCAGGCTTGAAGACCCGGCAGATTGAGGCTAGGCTGAAGCACTGAAGCCAGGCTGAGGCCTGAGGCAGAGGCAGCTGAGCTGAGCTAGGCTGGCTGAGGCTGAGGCAGGCTGATGCTGAGCAGGCCTGAGGCTGAGGCTGAGGCTGAGGCTGATCAGGCTGAGGCTGAAGGCATGCGACCGCTGAGGCCGAGGCGGAAGGCAGGCGGAGGCCGAGGCTGAAGGCAGGCTGAGGCTGAGGTGAGGCAGGCTGAGGCTGAGGCAGCTGAGGCTGAGGCTGAGGCAGGCTGAGGCTGTGACTGCGACTGCCGTTGCCACTGCGACTGTCATCGCGAATGCGACTACGACTGCGAGAACAGCAGAATTCTACAACTGGATTCTCATCCGAATCTTAAGGGGAATGCTTCCAGATATGCTCCTACACATCGCTGTTAGGTTGCTTTGCTGGGATAATTGTCAGAGTACCTGGTCTTTAACTGGCGTAGTTTCGCCGCAAGGCAGCACAGAGCGCTTCGGGTTCTAGGGCTGGAAGGTGCTTGACCAGCGAGTTGGCGGCGGCACTGGGACGTCTGGATCCAGCCAAGGTCTTGCGGCGAGTACACTTAGATGGATGGTTGAAGATGTTACGAGATAGTCATGGTTGGCAACCTGCTGGGCGAAGATTCGCGTTCGTCTACGATTGGCGGGCCCATGGCGCTGGAGGGTCGTGCCACCATCGCCACCTTGATGGACATCAATTGGATGCCCCACTCGCCGATGGAGTGGGACACGGACAATGGTTCTCGGACGACGCTCGGCGTCGCAGGTTAGGAGCAGGGATGATAAGACTCATCCCATCAGGGGACGTGTGGAAGGTCGAGGCTGGTCGCGGCACCACGCTCCAAGGGCGAAGACAAACTGTGCCGCGTGCGGAGATAACCTCGCTTCTGTTGGCCCTCGAGGCCACGTCGGGGAACCTCCGCTATATCACCGACCATCAACCTCTGTTAGAGCAGTGGAAACGAAGGCAACTCAGTGTGGACGGCCCGTGTAGGCTCGGAAATAGTGCTGGCATCTGGTCCCGAATAGCCAAGGCTCTCGCCTCCCGCGGCCCAGGTAGAATTGGGCTGGTTTGGACGCCCTCGCACAGTGATGTTGCTGTGTTCTCTGACTCCTCTCCCTGGACCAGGTTTCTCGCATTTGGCATTCAATGTGCCGACGTTTTCGCCCACCAGATGGCGGAGATCGCGTGGTGTTGTTTCGTGGTGGCCTTTTGTCCCCTTTCACAGACGAGAGGGATGCCACCGCCGCGTTGGTAAGGCGCCGGGCGAGGAGAGCTCTGGCGCTAAGTATCCAGGCCGATCTTTGGACCGCGGAGTGGCAGCCTCCGAGGGCTGGAGAGCCCGCGCGGCCGAAACTTGCACGGGCGCTAAAGGTTTCGAGCCTTTCCTGGGTCCGCACTGGAGAAATTCGCGCGGAGGAAATGCAGCCTGCTTTAGAATCAAGAGTCGATTTATCAGCTGTGTGAGGCGACGTGTGTCGAGCGGGGAGAGAGAGGGAGAGAGAGAGAGAGAGAGAGAGAAAAAAAAAAAAAAAAAAAGAGAGAGAGAGAGAGAGGTTGGCCCCTACCACGGCTCCCGTGAGATTGGAGGCCGAACCCTGCACCACACCCACCACCTTCAGTATTGGCAGGATTTCCAGCTAATCTTCAGTTCCGTGTGCGGTCAGGTAGCTGATATTTGGCTCGTCCTTGCGAGGTCCCCCCTAAAGGCAGGCAGAACCTTGCCCGCATCATGAAGGGCGAGTAACCGTTCCCTGGAGGCCCCCCATCGAACAGCTTGGGAGGCACAGTGCTCCAGGTTTTTAAATCAAGTTTTGTATTGGTTTCGCTAAGTTCTGTATTTTCACCACTGGACACCGTCCTGACCTACGTTGTCGCACCCCCCCGCATGTTCCCAATGCTCCTCCTCATCCTTCTCCTCTTCCTCCTCCTCCTCCTCCTCCTCCTCCTCCTCCTCCTCCTCATAATCGCCCTCCATCAGCAGCGCGTTTCGATTATGCGAGTCCTTGCCGCCCTGGCAGCAAGAGGGCCGCCGCTGGGAGCGACGAGCGGGGGCAGTGTTGGCACAAGCCCGCCACTTCTCGGACGCCTCGCTGAACCCGCCTGCCCCAGCCCCAACTTCCAAGCTGGATTTGCCCACGCGCGCAGAGAGGAGGGCACGCGGAAGAGGATGGAGGAGGAAGATGAGAAAGAGGCGGAGGAGGAGGAGGAGGAGGAGGAGGACGACGACGACAACATCGAGGATGCCGTCGAGGAAGAGGAGGAAGAGGACGACGACGACACTGATGACGACGAACACTAGGACGAGTGCGAAGAAGGGGCGAGAAGAGGAGGAGAAGGATGGGGGGAGACGCAGGAGGAAAGAAAAGGGCAGTGGCAGGAGGAGGTTGGGGAGGTGCAGATGCAAGGAGTGGTGGCTCTTCCTCCTGCTCTTCCTGCCCCTCTCATGATCGTGCTTGTGCGCCTCCTTCTTCGTATCATGGTCCTCCTCATGATCCTACCCATCACAATGCTGCATTCGTCCTTGTCGCCCTCCTCCCTTCCCCATTCCCATCCCCCTGCCCCCTGCTTCCGCCGCAGAGGAACTGACGCCATGTTCGGCAATGCCCCTCCAGGCTACGTGCCCGGCCGTGGCCGTGGCGCTACCGGCTTCATCGGTGGCGTCAGCCGAGACGAGGTCGACCGAGATGATGACAAGGCCCCGCCCGCTCAGAAGAAGGGTGCCATCCTTTTGCCAGGTTCCACCACGTCGGCGCTCGTCCGCGCATTGAGCCTGCCATACATGGCAAGGTTTTGCCATCGACTTCTCTGCGATGCGGCTGTCATGCGTAACTACTGGGCCTCATCCAGGACGTAGACGACGTCCTCGTTAACCCTGCTCTGTCACGATGCTCTGCATTTTGCGGGAAGCAACTGCGGCTGGCTCCCAGCATTCTGCGAGGAAAGTACGGCTTTTACAACGACGATCCCGGGTTGCCATCGATCGGGCACGCAATCGGTGATGCACGCCGAATTTGTTCGTTAAAGCAGTGTGGGTGAGTCGTGGGTAGGTCGCGGGTGGGTCGCGGGTGGGTCGCGGGGTGGGTCGCGGGGTGGATCGCGGGTCGCGGGTGGGTCGCGGGGTGGGTCGCGGGTGGGTCGCTTCGTGGGTCGCGGGTGGGTCGCTTCGTGGGTCGCGGGTGGGTCGCTTCGTGGGTCGCGGGTGGGTCGCGGGTGAGGTCGCGGGTGGGTCGCGGGTGAGTCGCGGGGGGGTCGTGGGTCGCGGGGCGGGTCGCGGGGTGGGTCGCAGGTGGGTCGCGGGGTAGGTCGCGGGTGGGTCGCGGGTGGGCCGCGGGTGGGTCGCGGGTGGGTCGCGGGGCGGGTCGCGGGGCGGGTCGCGGGTGGGACGACGACAACAAAAACGCAATCCGCGCCGCAGAGTCCCATTTCAGCCACGCACCCGGGGACAGTGAATGGCCGTTCGGCCTCCTCACTCTGATAATCCGTAAGGGCTTCGCCCCCTGCCGCCGGCCCCCTCTCTCGGAGAATGGGCCATGGAAGAGCAGGTTTTGGACCCTGACCCCGCGGATCTGCGTGAGGGGTGGCACCGAATTTCAGAAATGCAAATCACACACTTTTTCCTGAAAGGGCGTGGGGCTCTCGGTTCTCTTTTAGTAGGTAAACCTGTCCCCCGGTGCAAACTTGAGGGAGGCCGGCGAATTTTTTCCCTGATAAATAACGAGGTCGAAGGAGGCCGGCGAATTAAAATTTGAGGATGTCTCGAGCGAAACGCTTGTTTTTGAAATCCCGATCGATAAAACACAGGGTGCGGGCCACTTTTTCGTGTGTTGAGGATGTCTCGAGCGAAACGCTTGCTCCGCAGAGTTTGCCGAGGATGTCTCGAGCGAAACGCTTGTTTTGCAGAGCCGACCGCGACGCGGAAAAGCGCCCCGCGCGAAGGAATTTCGATGATGTTTCGACTAATTTGTTTGTTTTTGTACGATTTCCTGGAATTTTGGCAGGATGTCTCGAGCGAAATGCACGACCCCACCCTAGCACGACCATCCCCCAGCACGACCACACCCCAGCACGACCAGACCCCAGCACGACCCCACCCCAGCACGACCCCACCCAGCACGACCATACCCCAGCACGACCACACCCCAGCACGACCCGACCCCAGCACGACCCTACCCCAGCAAGACCACACCCCAGCACGACCACACCCCAGCACGACCTCACCACAGCACGACCACGCCCCAGCACGACCACGCCCCAGCACGACCACGCCCCAGCACGACCACGCCCCAGCACGACCACGCCCCAGCACGACCACCCCCCAGCACGCCCACCCCCCCAGCACGACCACCCCCCAGCACGACCACACCCCAGCACGACCACACCCCAGCACGACCACTCCCCAGCACGACCACACCCCAGCACGACCACACCCCAGCACGACCACACCCCAGCACGACCACATCCCAGCACGACCACACCCCAGCACGACCCGATCGATAAATCACAGGGTGCGGAGCACCCCAGCACGAACCCACCCCAGCACGACCCCACCCCAGCACGACCCCACCCCAGCACGACCACGCCCCAGCATGACCACACCCCAGCACGACCACCCCCCAGCACGACCACTCCCCAGCACGACCCCACCCCAGCACGACCCCACCCTAGCACGACCACACCCCAGCACGACCACACCCCAGCACGACCCCACCCCAGCATGACCACACCCCAGCACGACCCCACCCCAGCAAGACCACACCCCAGCACGACCACACCCCAGCACGACCTTACCACAGCACGACCCCACCCCAGCACGACCACGCCCCAGCACGACAACGCCCCAGCACGACCACGCCCCAGCACGACCACGCCCCAGCACGACCACGCCCCAGCACGACCACCCCCAGCACGACCACCCCCCCAGCACGACCACCCCCCAGCACGACCACCCCCCAGCACGACCACACCCCAGCACGACCACACCCCAGCACGACCACACCGCCTTGGTGAGTGGTTGCCTTGTCGTCGTGGAATGTTTCGTGGGGTGTCTCGTGGAATGTTTTCGCGGGGTTTCTCGTGAATTGGCTGCCTCGTGAGTTGTCCTCGTGAACCCCAGTATGAGGTGTCCTCGTGGGCTGTTTCGTGAGTGTCCCCGTGGGATGTTTCGTGAGGTGTTTGCCCAGTTTGGGTATCATGAAAACGTGTCCATGCTCCCACATGTCTATATCCCTTTCCGGGTTCGTGGGTCCATCATGTTTTTGGACCCAGACCCCGCGGATCTGCGTGAGGGGTGGCACCGAATTTCAGAAAATGTGGCAAATCCCCTGTGTTTTTGGACCCTGACCCCGCGGATCTGCGTGAGGGGTGGCACCGAATTTCAGAAATGTGGCAATCCCATATGCCCCGGAAAGGGCGCGGGCCAGGGTTCTCTTTTCCTATGTAAACATGTCCCCGGTGCCCAACTTGAAGGAGGCCGGCGGATTCTTTCCCTGATAAATATCGAGGTCGAAGGAGGCCGGCGGATTAAAATTTGAGGATGTCTCCGGCGAAACGCTTGTTTTTGAAATCCCGATCGATAAATCACAGGGTGCGGGACACCTCAGCACGACCACACCCCCAGCATGACCACACCCCAGCACGACCACGCCCAGCACGACCACGCCCCAACACGACCACACCCCAGCACGACCACACCCCAGCACGACCACACCCCAGCACGACCACACCCCAGCACGACCACACCCCAGCACCAGCACGACCACACCCCAGCACGACCCGATCGATAAATCACAGGGTGCGGACCACCCCAGCACGACCACACCCCAGCACGACCCCATCCCAGCACGACCCCACCCCAGCACGACCACGCCCCAGCACGACCACACCCCAGCACGGCCACACCCCAGCACGACCACACCCCAGCACGACCCCACCCCAGCACGACCCCACCCTAGCACGACCACACCCCAGCACGACCACACCCCAGAACGACCACACCCCAGCACGACCACACCCAAGCACGACCCCACCCCAACACGACCACACCCCAGCACGACCACACCCCAGCAGGACCCCACCCCAGCACGACCCCACCCCAGCAAGACCACACCCCAGCACGACCACACCCCAGCACGACCTCACCACAGCACGACCACACCCCAGCACGACCACGCCCCAGCACGACCACGCCCCAGCACGACCACGCCCCAGCACGACCACCCCCTAGCACGACCACCCCCCCAGCACGACCACCCCCCAGCACGACCACCCCCCAGCACGACCACACCCCAGCACGACCACTCCCCAGCACGACCACACCGCCTTGGTTGAGTGGTTGCCTGTCGTCGTGGAATGTTTCGTGGGGTGTCTCGTGGAATGTTTCGCGGGGTGTCTCGTGGACTGTTTCGTGAGGTGTCTCGTGGAATGTTTCGTGAGGTGTCTCGTGGGATGTTTCGTGAAGTGTCTCGTGGGATGTTTCGTGAGGTGTTGCCCAGTTGGGTATCGTGAAAACGTGTCCATGCTCCACATGTCTATATCCCTTTCCGGGTTCGTGGGTTCATCATGTTGGACTCTGACCCCGCGGATCTGCGTGAGGGGTGGCACCGAATTTCAGAAATGTGGCAAATCCCATGTGTTTTTGGACCCTGACCCCGCGGATCTGCGTGAGGGGTGACACCGAATTTCAGAAATGTGGCAAATCCCATGTGTTTTTGGACCCTGACCCCGCGGATCTACGTGAGGAGTGTCGATTTTGAGCCCCCCCAGCAATTCAGACAACGCGCCCAGGTGGTGCTAAAAATCTGGTTTGGGCCTCCCTCCCCTCGCGCGGTCAATCAACTAGTTACAGAAACCAGCAAGAAGCAGAACTGTAACACTGGAAACTACAAACTACAACTGGCACAGGAAACTGCGAATCACGGGCCTACAGCCTGGTGG